ACCCGGCTAAGGCCGGCGCTGCCGTCGGGGGTTCCCTCTCATCGGGGTTCCGTCCCGTCGGGGTTCCCTCCCGCCGGGGCTGTGGGCAGGAGCTGGGCCCGGGCAGGGGCCGTGGGGCCGCCCGGGGCCGCCCGGGCAGCGGGGCCGGTGACCGGACAGCGGCCKCTCCACAGGGACAGCGGCAGGGCCAGCCCCGTTGCGCCGCGTCCCGTGCAGGCACCCGCTTGGCAGGCGGCAGGTTTCGGGTGCGGGGAGCGACGCGGGTGCTGCTGCCACGGCCGCGGTGGCTGTGCCGGGCGCCCTGGCGCGAGCCTTATCTCTCCTCGCCACGCGGCCGCTGCTTATCGGGTGCCCGCGCTCGCCGCCAGCTCGCAGGTGGCCCCGTGCGCGGCGCTTGCGCGTCCCCGGGCCTGGCGGGCACAGCGTGTGCAGGAGCCGCGGGCACAGCCCTGCTCCGCATCCCAATGGGATTCGGCTCCCCTGGCACAATCCCAGGCGCCGGTGGCTGTTAGCGCCGATGCCACCTGCATGCGGAATGAGGGATCCCTGGTGGCACTGGCTGCAGTCCCTGGGTCTGCTCCTGCTCGTGACCCTGCTGTGGGGGCTGCCGTGGTCCCAAACGCTGCCCACGCCTGTGGCTTGGGCTGCCCYAGAGGAGTGCCAGGCTGTGTGCCGGGCTCGCTCAAACCATTAGCTAATAGCTGGGCAGGGAAAACAGTAACTCCGTCCTAGTGGTCCAGCAGGGATGTCCGGGCAGGGGACAAAGCCCAGGGTGAGGTATCCGTGTTGTGCGCTGGCCCGTGCCGAGCCCAGCTCTGTCTGCTCTGTGCAGAGGCAGGAGCCSCAGTTGCTGCTGCTTCTGCCCATGGAGCTGCTGAACGTGGCTGGGACAGGGTGAGGTGTCCAGGGCTGGTAGACGTGAAGCCTTCGGCGGGGGACGTTAAGGCACCGGCTCAGATGCTGATGACAGTCCCGGGTGCTCCCTCCCCACTGCAGTGGCCTCGGCCCCGCTGCCTGGCCAGCTCCCAGCGCTCCGGCCGTCCCGGCAGTCCTTGACCGCCCTCGTGGCGCAAGGACGGGAGCCGCGGTGAAGCAGCGGTGACGCCGGTGGCCCCGCGGGGTGGCAGCGCTTGCGCCAGGGACGTGTTGGGACCTTGGCAGCAGCCCCGGGCTGYGAGAGGGTGGCAGCGCGTGGGGACATGTGGCTGACCTGCCGTGTCAGGGCACTCGGAAAGGGGACRGCTCCCAGGGGAAGAGGCTGGGAAGAGCCTTGCTCCCTGCTGGGGCGAGTGCAGACCCCCAGCAGGGCTGATCATGCAGCCCCCAACCGTCACAGAATCACAGAATATTCACGGTTGGAAGGGACCTTTAGAGATCATCCAGTCCAACCTTCCTGCTCGAGCAGGCACACCTACAGCATGTGGCACAGGGTGGCATCCAGGCGGGTTTTGAAGACCTCCAGAGAAGGAGACTCCACAACCTCCCTGGGTAGGGAGGTGTTCCACTGCCCACCTCGCCCACCTCCGCGCTTCCCGAGTCAGCAGCTGCGTGGGGGCTGCTCCCATTTCCAGCCCGCTCGGCACCGTCACGGACACCCCGCGAGCAGCCCTACCAAGCAGCACTTGGGCTGACCTYGTGGGGTTGCTGCAGCATTGCGCTGGTGTCTGCAAAGAGCATGTTGCACGTGGGGACGATTGAGGGACTGCTCATGCCGGGCTTTATCCGCTGACCATAGTCCAGCGCTGAGCTTCCCACAACCGTTATATTTGCCTTGGATGTGATAATTCCGGACGGCCTCTCCCTGGTGGTCGCTCATCCCCCCCTGCAGACCCATCTGCTGATGGGCAAAGCAAACGCGCCATTCTTCTGGCACCCTGCTCAAACCAGCAGCGTGAGATGGAGCGTTACCTACCCACTTCAGACAAAGCAGCCTCTGTGCTTCTGAAACAGCTTATTTGGGCTCGCAGGAAGCTTTCCTCAAGCTCAGGTCTGCTGTGTCAGCAGAATTAGCCTTTCACAGCAATCCAATGCGCTTGTTTTCCCCTCATTGATTCTTCTCCACAAAAGCAGAATTGCGCCAGCTCCACTTTAACGCTTTCTCTGGTTTGGTACTGACAAGACCAGCTCGTGTCTTGCAGATATTTCCTTACCCGTTAAAGCCTGATAGAAGTTTTAGGGTAGGGCTTAGTGCTGCTTCCCACTCGGGGACACTTGCTGTCTGTCGGCAAAAGGGGTGGCCAGGTGTAAGTTGACTGCAGCTGCCCTCGGTTAAGTGGTGTCTGGATGCCATAGGAAGGCTCTGCTAGCCAAGACTCATGTTACAAATAAAACAGATAATATCCAGGCAGATCTATTGCTTCAGCTGGAAGGAGTCTCCTTTATTTTGCTTGATGCAGAATAATAAAGTGAACATCGTGGAGGACCCCTTGCAGTCAGGAATGCTGCTGCAAAGGGTGCGTTCATCTTCAGGAACACAAAATGCTTCAAAATCCAGGGTGTTTTTTGATAGTTCTGTTATGTGCATTTGCTCTGCATAGGCGTGGGGAAGTTTTGCTTCCTGCTGCTTATCTCTAGCGTCTCAGGTGCTGGATACGAGTGCTCTGCACTTGGCGGGTGCTCTGCACGCAGAATGGTCCGTTCTGCTGCACTGAGGACCTGTTGCAGGGCACATCTCTCCTGACGAGTCCCCAGCATCCCAGGGCACGTCTTGCTGAAGTCTTGCACTGTGTCACGCTGCTGACTCCAAGAGGATTTTCTRTTTGTGGGACCCTCTGCTTCTGTATCTTCTACTGTGATATAATGCGTTGTCATTGTCCTTTCTCCAACTATTTGTATTCAGAGGCAGAAAGTTTCTTGAGCTGTCSTAGGGGGTGGCAAAATCTTGGAGAAAACACTACAGGGGATAGCAGGTTATGGCAGGGTGCCCGCCGCTGCCCATGCGCTCCGGCTGCTGCTGCCCGGCTCCATGGGAGGCTTCACTGCGCTCCGAGCAGGGCAGGGCTGCTCCTGCCCCTGGGGACCCACGGCAGCAGGAAGGGCTTGGCTGCTCGTGCCTGCTTCCCGCAGGCCCTAATCCCTGTCACAGGGTTTCCACGTGGCCAAGTTTGCCCGCTGACAGAGTCGCATGTCTCGGCTCCTGTGAGATGCCCACTGGCTCCGGCTCCGTGGCCTTCCCGCTCTGCTCTTCCTGTGCTCCCCTTTAAGGCCCTGCCCTGCATGTCTGGAGGGAAAGGTGATTTTGGGACGCTGACTCTGGAGTTGCACAAGAGGGATCTCCAGAGAGGAGACAGCTCTGGGGGTTGCTTCCTAGCTCTTGCTCCATGAGATCTGCATCTGTGGGCTGGATTCCAGGTGCCAGGCTTAGCTGCTCACGTTCGAGGAGGCAATCAGGACTTGGCCGGCGCCAGCCTGCGGGGACTGTCAGGGCCCTGTTATCTCCGTGTCACAACGTTTGGGCTTAAGGTGACGCGCAGGGTCAGCTGGAGCCGAACCTGAGCCTTGCTCTGTTTGCAAATCGTTGGCTCGTGTTTCGGTGTAGGGCAGCTGACCTGCTGGCAGGAGAGCGTGCAGCTCCGCGCTCTGGAAAAGCACTTTGCGTGGGGCTGGCGCCGGGAGCCCCGCCAGGCTGCGGAGGCGCCGCGCCAAGGCTTGGCATCGCGGCGAGCACCGGGGCTGGCCTCGGCCCTGCTCCACGGTGGGCATCCTCACCTGCAGCTCCCCGGGCTTCACCAGCACTCTGCGTCCCTCAACAGCTGCCCTGGCCGCAGCAAGGAGCATCTTCCTCAGAGCTCCCTGCGTAAAGTCTGCTCTGCTCCCGCGGGAGCACCTGGGGCACCTGACCTGCGGGTGGAGGTTGGGCTGACCACAGCTGGATGTGTTAGTGCCAGGAGTGCAGGGCAAGAGCAGCCCTGGTGCGTGGGCGGGCGCTGGAGCGACCCGGGCAGCTGCCCRCTCACCGCCGTGACGTTGAGTCCCTTCTCTTTCTCTTCCTAGCTCCTGCACCTCTGCCTCTGAGAAGGACACGGGAGGTGAGTGAAGCAGTTGCTGCTGCTCGCAGTAGGTAGTTTCTGCCTCAAGGTCCGTGGGCATCCACAGCCTCCAAGCACAAGTTGGTTGGGGAACACTGAGGCTCTCGGATTTTCTCAGCCAACACTGACGGCTGAGCCCCTGCTTGGGCAACAGAGCATGAAGGACCCGTTTTATGACCTATTTTGGCAACTTGTGTGGCCCAAGGCAGAACCTCGCTGCCCCAACACCTACCCTGAGCCCRTGGGTGGGAAGCGGGACTCCCCGAGGAGTCCTGTAAGAGCCTTGCAGAGGGACACAGCCCTTCTCTGGCCCCTTCTGCAGGAGCAGAGCAGAGGGAGAAGCAGTACCGGGCCCATCGCGGGTTTGGGGATCGCCGTGGCGGGGTCATCAGCGCCCGCACGTACTTCTACGCCGACGAGGCCAAGTGTGACCAGCACATGGAGATCTTCCTCCGCTGCATCAACGCCTCAGGCGAGTGCTCCGCCGTGCCCTGAGCGGTGCCGGGGTGCTTAGGGGAGCCCGCGGGCTGGCGCTCTGCAGCTGGGCTCGCTGCGCTGCCCCTGCCCGCGGCTCGGGTGTTGCTCCCGCTCGGGAGCTGCTCTGGTCCCATCGGCTTTGTGCTTTGGGGCTCTGTGCAGGTGGCAGCTCTGAGGACGGCTTCTCGGCCATCAAGCTGACCGCCCTGGGCAGGCCGCAGTTCCTGGTGAGTGCCCGGGGGCGCCAGGGCTGTGTCGTGGTGCAATGGGGAGAACGGCACCGGCAGCTCACGCCGAGCTCTGCTCTCKCAGCTGCAGTTCTCGGAGGTGCTGGTCAAGTGGCGGAGGTTCTTCCACCAGATGGCTGCAGAGCAGGGCCAGGCTGGGCGTGCAGCGCTGGAGACGAAGCTGGAGGTGGAGAAGCTGCAGGTGAGCTGGGTGATGCCCGAGGGACAGGGCTGTGCTGCCGGAGAGCTGGCGGGCACCCAGCACCAGACGTGGGCTGCTGGACGGCRGGTTTCCGTAGGGCTCCCCAAGCAGCTGTGACCTGTGATGCCTCACATCTGCACTGGTCCCCCCGTACCAGCCTTTGTGGCTCACTGTGGTGCTCTTCCCTCCATACTTGTCCTGGCCCTGCCTTTTCCCTGCTGGTTTATCGCTGTCTTCAGTTGAGGGACTCCCACTCCTCCCTGTTGCCATGATCTCCGTCCTGTCGCGCTGCTCCTTGGAGCCATTGCCATGCTGGAGTGGGCTGCTCCTTGCCCTGGTGTGCACGCTGGCCCTGGGGGTCTTCCTACCTGCAGCATCGGCACTGACGCTGCTCTTGCCCGCAGGAGGCCCTGGCCAAGCTTGGCATCGCGACCAAAGCCGAGAGTCAGCACTGGTTCACGGGCGAGAACCTGGGCCTGAGCGGGTGAGCTCCGGGCCCTGCGGTCCTTGGGGTGCGAGGGGAGCTTGGCATGGGCCGGGGTGTCTCCAAACAGAGGAGGTTCTGCTGGAGGTGGCTAGATGGGTCGGGGTGCTGCATGGGGCAGTTGTCTACCCTGCATGCGGTGAGGGGTGGGATGGGCAGAGACCTCCCTGCTCTGGTGACCTGTCCCTCTGCTCACAGCACTGTGGACCTGCTGGACTGGAACAGCCTGATCGACAGCCGCACCAAGCTCTCCAAGCTGCTGCTGGTCCCTAACATGAAGGTGGGTAAAGTCAGGCCCTGAGCAGCCCTGCGGGCAGTGCCAAGCCAGGCAGCTCCTCCTTATCCCCGCCTGCCCCCTGGCTCTGCTCTGGGCTCAGAGACCCTTCCCCACTAGGCATCTGCCACCTTTTCTCTTTGGCCTCCAGCCTGGGGCACGAGCATGTCCCTCGYTTCATGGGAAGAAGAGTCCTCCTTTTTACCATGGGTACCAAAGAGTAGGTCCAAGCATGGGGCTGCTTTCCACGAGCCAGGAGCTAGGCACTTGGGTGCTCCTGTAGTGCCCTGCTTAATGCAGAGCAGAGTCAGGCCTGGCAGCTGCAGGGAAGCTGGGCAGAAGGGTGGCAGTGTCACCCGTGCTGGCCAGCAATCCTTGAAGGCCTGGAGAGGCAGTTTGTGGTGCACAGGCAGCTCCAGGGCCACATGAGCACCCGTCACCTCCCTGCATAGCCTGTGCCAGCTGCATCTCCTGCACGGCCGCGTTGCTCCACACCAGTACAGCCCACAGCCTAACAGTGCCTTGGTGGTGTGGGGTATGTGGGGCACTGGCAGGCCTGCTTGGGCATCCTTTGCATGCTGTGCTCATCGCTGGGGTCTGAGGAGTTGCAGCAAGGAGCAGTTCTGGAGACCACCTGGAGATGAAGAGCTTCCCGTGGAGCTTTTCTCTGCCTCCAAGCAGGCTCGGCCGTAGGCAGCATCTTCCTGCAGCACTTTTCCTTTCACCCAGGCAGGGCAAGTTCCATGGCCCCATGGCTGTTGTCATTTCAGACTGGTCAGCTTGAGCCCCTGCTCTCCCGCTTCACCGAGGAGGAGGATCTGCAGATGAAACGGATGCTGCAGAGGATGGACRTCCTTGCAAAGGTCAGGAGATGCTGGGCGGAGAGGGCTGGGAGCAGGTCCCGCTGCAGAGGGTGATGCAGTGGCAGGCAGGCTCAGCCCCATGGTGTTCCCTATCCAGAGGGCCGCAGAGACTGGTGTGAGGCTCATGGTGGACGCAGAGCAGTCCTACTTCCAGCCGGCCATCAGCAGGCTCACCCTGGAGATGCAGCGTCGCTTCAACAGGGACCGGGCAGTCATCTTCAACACCTACCAGTGCTACTTGAAGGTGAAGCCCTGCAGGAGACTGCGGGGTCCAGGGTACACGACAGGGGAAAGGACCTGCTGGAGCAGCTGGGTCCCATAGAGACCTTGTCGTTCCTCCGGGGCTGGGCCCTGGAGGCGCAGGGCAGATGTGGCACTGATAGGGTGACAATGCGTTGTCTCTTCCACCTGCTGGCAGGAGGCTTATGACAATGTGACTGTGGACGTGGAGCTGTCACGCCGGGAGGGCTGGCACTTTGGCACCAAGCTGGTGCGTGGTGCCTACATGGAGCAGGAACGCAACAGAGCTGCCCAGATCGGCTATGAGGATCCCATCAACCCCACCTATGAGAAGACCAATGAGATGTACCACAGGTAGGAGACAGTCCCAGCTATAGTCCTCCCATCCTACTGGGCACAGACTTGGGCACGTCTTCCCACAGAGCCCTGTACTGCCCTGCAGGTGCCTGGACTATATCCTGGAGGAGATCAAGCACAGCCGGAAAGCCAATGTGATGGTAGCATCTCACAACGAGGACACGGTCAAGTTCACCCTGCGCAGGTAGGAGCTGGGGAGGTGGCAGAGACACTGGCACACACCAAGCCTTGTGCCTGAGGACCTGGGCGAGGTAGAGCTGGGCAGAGCAATGGTGAAATGTGCTGCTTTTCTGGTCCATCCTCTGTGCTCAAATACAGTGATCCTACCTCGGATGTGGTGCTCAGAGCCTTGCAGTGGGCTTGGAGCTGKGGCACAGCACAGTAGCCCATGGCAGTTGCAGAGGGAGCCCCATGGCACAGCACATAGACTCTTTCAGTCCCAGGAGTCTTTGGAACGCGGCTCCTGTCCGCGGTGGGGTCGGTGCCTCGCTGTCGTGCGCGGACCGCCCTGCTCCTGCCTGCTCGCTCTGCTTTTCCCAACACTGAGACCTCTGGCTTGCAGGATGATGGAGCTGGGGATCCATCCCTCGGAGAAGAAGGTGTCCTTCGGGCAGCTGCTGGGCATGTGTGACCAGATCACCTTCCCGCTAGGTGAGTACTGCAGCTCCGGTCCCTGGAAACGTGGGGGACTCGGGGCTGATGGAGCAGGGCTGGGGGATGTGTCCCAATGAAAGCGGCGCTGCCAGCGAGCAGGGCAGGAGGTGGGTCCTGGCAAAGAGCACACGCTTTGCTCAACATCGCTCCTTGGCCAGCACTTCTCTGCAGAGGGTTGGCGCAATGGGCAGTTCTGGGCCCTCTGCTCTCCTGTAGCTGACCCCAGCCTTGTCCTCTCCAGTTCTGCTCCTGGCCTAGGCGGTGAACTAGRCATACTAGGGGACCGTCCTCAGCCAGACAGGCTGAGGCATGTGCAGAGATCCATTTAGCCCAGCCCAGACACATGCAGGTCACTATCTCCCTCCCCTCACAGGTCTCCAGAGTGGAGACCCCCAGGCCAGGAGAGCAGCACGAGGCAGACTGGGCAGTTGTCCAGCGTGGATACTGCTCTGTCCTGGAGTTCCCCTAGCAAACTGGACTTGGCTGGGTGTCTGCAATCTCCTCTGGTCATGCTGGAAAAATGTGTTAACTTGATGTTTCTGGTTGAATGCTTCTTGAATTGGCTGGGCCCTGGCTGCTGACATTCCCAGGGCTCCCCGTGACCTTGGCCTTCTCCTTTCCAGCTCGTTCCCAAGCTTCCAGTGCTGAGCAGGAGGAGGGACTAGCTTTTGCTTCCCTCTTCTCTGGGCAGGCTCATCYACATCTGTCTGGACTGCTCCCAGACTTCCCCCTCTCCACTGCTTGGCTGTGTTGTCCATCCAGTGAAATCTGCTGCCRCCTTCTTTGCTGTCCAGGACTTGCTCTCGATTCCCCGAGACCCTCAGAGCTGGTCACACATGTTGTCACTGCACCCTTCCCCACCAGCTCACATCTCCACGATCCCTCCGTAGATCACAGCAGGCAATATGGAATGGTCTAGGGATGAGTCAAATGGGCCCAGATCSTCTTTCCCAGCTGCCTGTCCCACTGGCTTGTTGCATCTATGCAGAGAAATGTCTAGCCCTGGGTGCCCATTGCAGCAGAGCCTGGGGAGACGGAGAGCAGGGAATTAGGGAGGCTCTCTTTGGCTCAGAGCATTTTCATGACCATCTTCTCTGTCTCTGCAGGCCAGGCAGGCTTCCCTGTCTACAAGTACGTGCCTTATGGCCCAGTGAATGAGGTGCTCCCCTACCTGTCCCGGAGGGCCCAGGAGAACAGGGGCTTCATGAAGAGAGCGAACCGGGAGCGGGACCTCCTCTGGAGCGAGTTCAAGAGACGGCTCTTTGCAGGCAGCCTCTTCGGCCCCAACCACTAACTGCCCTGTCCGCTGGGACCCAGACGCGCCACTTGGCCCAGCCTGTGCCCGTGGAGAAGGCTTGTTGTGCCGTAGAGTATAACCACTATTGCAGTTCCTTTTCCTAGTTCTATTGCAGTTTTTCCCCCAGAGGCCTTTGCCCTGGGCAGAGATGTGCTCTTGTTGCTGTTTGAACYACATTTGCCTTCTGGAGGTCGCTGGCGCAGGGCTGCCCTGAGTGCCAAGGCAAGTCCCTTGTGCCACGTGCCAGGGCTGCAGCTGGGGAGCACAGCTCAGCCGCTGGAGATCCCCTGGTGAAAGAGCTGCTGGTGCTTTGCTAGGGTGAGCTTGAGGGTGCAGGAGCAGCCCCCTGCTTCACGGCACGGGCTYGGGACCAAGGGCCCCGCTGTCCCTAGCCCTCACTGAACCAGCACCATGGCATGGCCAGGGCCAGCTCCTCCAGCCGGAGCTGTGGCTTGACCTGTCTCCCAGCTGCATCAGTGCAGATGTGGAGCCCAAGCTGGCAAGGTGGCCAGTGGAGGTCACAGGTGGGCCTGGCAGCACTGGGCAGGGTGCAGGTGCCTCCTGCCTGTCCCGGGGCAGTTGGATCCTCACCAGCTTTGCACAAGCCTGAACCTCAGACTCAACCCCGTAGGTGTCTGCATGCTCTGCCCTGGGGCACAGGGCTGGCGTGCAGTGCTCGCCACGCTGTTCTTGTCCCACTGGCAGGGGCTGACCCCGCTGCGGGTGCCACCACTGTCATGCAAGAGCAGAGACCACTGCCACGTGCCAGGGGAGGCCGGGGAGGCTGTGTGATTCCCTGCGGAGCACCTGGGGGCTGTTCTGCAGCTACCCACTTCTGTCATACACTGGATTTATGGAGAATAGCGCTGATAAAATAACTACTGTTTCCAGCCTGGCTCTTGGATTTATTGGGYGGCCTGAGCACCCGCGTCCTGCCTGGTTCCCCTCGTCCCCGAGACGAGCGTGGGTGCCTGCTCGCGCACACCTGGTGCGTGCAGCTGGCAGGAGGGACGGGGCCACGCTCCCTGCGCCTGCTTTCTGGAGACCCCGGCGCTTCTCATGCACGGGAGGGCTGCAGGGGTAACGGGCGAGGCACCAAGCGGCCCCGAGCGCTCGCTCGCCTGCACGGAGGCGCCTGCGAGGTCTGCGAGGGGGAGATGCAGGGAAAGGCGCCGGTGTTGCTGCAGCCCCGCACGCCAGCCCCGAGCACACGGGAGCAGAGGCTTCCTCCGAGGCCCGGAGCCTGCCGAGGCCCCAAGCGACATCTCGAGCGACTCAACAGCTACAAGGATTTTGGATCTACAAGGATCTACAAAACAGCATATTTTCTTTCTTTTTCCTTTTTCCTTTTTCCTTTTTCCTTTTTCCTTTTTCCTTTTTCCTTTTTCCTTTTTCCTTTTTCCTTTTTCCTTTTTCCTTTTTTTCTTTTGTTCTTTTTTTTTAATTCATCATTGTTTTGTGTTTTGGTTTTTTCTTTTCTCTCTTTCTCATGCTGAATTTTTCCAAAACACAGCTCAAGGGGAGGCAGGCACCTGGCACTGCGGTGGCAGCTGAAGCTTGAAAAAGAAAGTGCAGACACTGCTGTCACGGAAAACGCTAAGCTGAGCTTAGGTCTAGCGCGGCCCCCATGCCTCTAGCCATGGCCAAAGCCTTGCTGCTGCTTGGGGGACAAGCAGGGTTGGTGGCCCCGGCAGGTCACAGCAAGAAGCCCATGCAGAGCAGCCCTCTCTGCTGGCAATTTCCATGCCCTGGGACCTTTTTTTGCCCTTTCCTACCCCAAAAAACAGGTGCTTAGGCTGGTCTGCTGCCTCCAAGACCCCTATGATGCCGCTCATCCCCCTGCTTGCCTGGCTCTGGCACGGCCCCTGTTCCGGCTGGGATGAGCCCTAGGGGAGAGGAACGGTGCTGCCTCCTGCCCTGAAATCCTAGGAAAGATAAAGCTGCTTCTGGAGGCTGAGATAGGAGCCAAAAGGAAATGCATCCTTGCACAAAACGAGGGGGGAAAACGCGCAGAGGTGAGAGCTCGCTCGGCTCGTCTAGGAACAGAGAGAGCCCGGGCAAGAGCGAGGAGGAGCAGCACTCAGCACAGCAGGAAGGTGATGGAGAGAACAGACAGGAAGGGAATCCCGGCCTGGCAAGGTGCCGGAGCGAGACCGGCAGCTGCAGCCGGGCTGCGAGGAGGCCCAGGGTGCCAAGCACGTCCCGGCCTGCGAGCCCGGCCTCCCCGTCCCCGGCGACGCTCCCGCTGCAGCAGGGCGGGCGCTGGGAGCGACTCGTGGCTTCGCAATTCCCCAAAGGGAATTCCTCACACCTCGGCCGGAGCTGCCACAGTCTYGGCATTCCCAACCCAGCTCCTGGGAGCCAAACAGGGCCACCTTGGTATGCCTGGGCACGTGCCAGGCGAGCTCTCTGAGCGGGACAAGGGCGCACAGCGGAGGCAGAAGCCCCACGARGGCAGCTGCTCCAGAGCACATGGATGCAGGGGGGCAGGATGCATGGGAGCAGGTGAAAGCTCTGTCACCTGCGGYCACTGCTAAGTCCCCAACCATGCCTTGATGGCAACTTTGCTCAGTGGAAGGAGGAGCCGATTCARCTCTGCCTTCCTGACGTCACGGTGTTACAGAGCAGACCTGGTTGCTCCCTGCTGTGGCAGCACTAATAGAGCACAGGGACACYGGTCTTACTGCACCTTGGTGGACAAGACCTTGGACCAGAATGCTGTGAGTCTGGACTGTAAAAACCTGCAACTTGTCAGCAGCTTCTAGGATGGTCTCCAAAAGAGCTAAGACAAGGAAACGATTATTTCAAGGACAGTTGTTCAGATTATGAAGCATTTGGGCTGTCTGTATAAGCCACTGCCCACATTTGGACATTAGGAGGTGGGCAACCTGCCTGAAGTCATGTTTATCATGATGCTACTGCAAAAGAGAAGTTCAGCCAGTGAGTCCACCAGGGAGGTCCCTATTGGTGATGAGAGTTCTCCCAACTTCTCATTTACTTGGTGAAGGAATCCCAGGACTAGAAGGTTCTTGGACCTCATCCACTTCTGAGGGACACTCTCTAACCTCTGCTCAGAGTGATGGAGACTCCACTCCCTCTGCAGGAAACCCACAGAGGTGACCGTGGCCCTCAGACATAGCCCTGGACAAGATGCCCACAACTCCTGAGATGAAGCTCTTGGAAGAGTGAAGCAGTGATTGAAATGGAAATGGGTCCACTTGGCTCCCTGAGCAAGCTGAGCGYGCAGATGATGCCCCAGTTTTCAAAGCACAATGAGTAGCAAGGGTTATCTTAGCTTCATGTTTGCTGCACATGGCAGAGGGGAAGGGTGTCCTCCATCACGCTTTAAACATACACACAGCTCAAGGAGGTCCCTGAAGCTCAGACAAGCTTGGCTTTCTCATCTCTCTACTGCAGTGGCCATCAAAGTTGAGAAGGCAACTGCTATGGGGTGACAGTCTGAACTTCCTGGTCCATCCGGTACTGGTGCTGGCTCTGGAGAGATAGGGGAGAGTGGCAGTGACTACCTACAGCTCACGGGGCTCAATGTGATCCTGTACCCTGGGCAATGGACACGCTCTCTCCCTTACCCATCTGAGGAGAGGACGGCAGCTCAAGCCAAGGGCTGCACTGGAGCTGGTGTGAAGCAGGCAGGGTGGCCAGACCTCAGGGAGCCTCATTGGCACTCGGGGTTATCTTGCTTGGTGGCCCTGTCCCAGTGACAGTCAGCCCAGTCCTGTTTCCTTGTCTGGGGAACAGCAGTTCTCCACCATGAGCTGGGCTGGAGGCTGAGCGGCCTCCACCCTGAAGCACGTCCACAGACACATTCCACCTTGGGAGACATGGCCTTGGGTTTCCTGCAGAGCTGCCTCCTTGATGCTTCTCCCTCACTGGGAGCCCTCAATAGCCAAGGGCCCAAAGGAGCCTCCAACCCTGCRTGCAGGGGCAGCAGAACTGCCTGCYCAATGTCCCACCGGGCTGAGGACACCAGTTCTGCCRTGGTGACACAGTGGGACTGCTCTGGGTGTCCCACATGTCCCCTCCCCAGCTGTGTCATGACCACGGGCCTCCGAGGGGCTGCCCTGGGCAACTTCCACCCCTTCCACGGGGCGCTGAGCGTGCACGAGGCTCCCAAGGCTGCTCCCGACGGTCACCCGAGGCCGTCGGGGCGCAGGAGCTGCCGGAGCCGGGC